TCATGTCTGCATGGACAAATGACAAAACTCAAGGTATTATATTCATAGAACTTCAAGGATCAACTTGGCTGAGTGTCACATTCTTTTGGATACTAAATACAAGCTATTGGAGCTCCTTTCATGCAGAATATTACAATGCCAGCCACCTATACAGAGAGGAAATATCCTAGAGTTGGTTCATTTCTGTAATCCCAGCTCTAATTCCCTCATTCTCCCCACCGACCAAGTCACAAATCCCAGACATCCCATATCAAATTCACTCAAGTTATGACACCTCATGAGCAGGGACTGCTTTATCTATTCTTCATCTCATCCCACTATCCCCAATGCAGCAGGCACTCAATGAGTGTTTTATCAAATTGAACTACATAGTACTTTATCATATTTCCTTCCAGTGCTGTGGAAGAGGAGGGGAAGGTTGCACAGAGAATTACACATTCCTTATTTGACTCGAAGCAAAGAAAGTAACTTTTTCACTCTCTTATTCTGGCCTGTGATCAATGAGGCTTCCAACAGGGAGTAAGTAACTCAAGAGGAAAAGGTGTGCCCCTACAACACACCCTTGTCCCCACCTCCGGATGAGCTCATTCAGTGTTGCTGTCTCCTTAACAAGAATAAAATTCAGTTTCACCTAGAAGCCTAATGGGAGGTGACCATTAGGGATGACGAGTTTCACATATCCTACACTATACTTCTGCTGACTCACCACACCATAGTAGGGCTGAGTTTCTTAGGATTTAGAAGCTTTACCACTCTCAATCCCAAAATTCACTTTCACTTTCATGGAGACAGTACAAAGACACCATGGAGTGCAATTGATTGCAAAAGTATCAGTCTAAATATAAGAGAGGCAATTCAAATCTCTGATTTGAGGACATTGTTGCAAATGTCATTTGCATGGAACAGAAAGAATTGCCTTCATTCCACCCCTAGCAAAACTCGAAGAAGGAAATTGGGGTTATAAAAACTGTTGGTCAGAAGATGGCTGAATTCTTATTTAGTAAAAGGGATATAATCCCTGAGTTCTAGCAAAGGCAAAGAAGACACAGGGCCATAGTGAAGAAAAATATCACTTGAGTTCCTCCCAACTAATAGGATCATATAAAAATGAAATGGAGAATGAAAGTACTGTGATGTTGATGGATTATGATGAGAATTGAGTTAAAGAAAATAAGTGCTTTAAATCATCCAATTCTCTAAATAATATTGGAAACCAGCGAACTGGATGTGTTCAAGCTTATCTGCACCAAATCTGAAAAATGTTGGCAAGATTACTAACTGCAATTTCACAATGACATGATGGGGCCCCAAAAGCAATTCTGAAGACAGCTTGTCTCCTTACAGAGATAACAGTCAGACATAATCCAGGCTCCTTCAAAGGGTCAATTCAGGGGTCATAGTCAAGATCAAGTTTGTAATTGTTGTAATTTTACCTTCTGCTGACAGCATCAAGTCAGATGAGGCACTCCCAGAGGGGGACAATTTTCTCGATGAAATGATTGTCATTAGTAGAGCTCATAGGGAAAATGACCACACTTTTGTTCTTTTCAAAGTTCTAATTTTCAAGTAGTAAATTATCAAGTAGTAAATAACAAAATTTAAGACAATCTAAGCTAATACCATGTTGCCACAATTTTATAGTCCTATAGCTTCCAACTGAAAGACCCACTCATGGTAACAAATTTCTTCCTGTAACGCAAGAACATGTAGAGAGAAGTGTTGGTGGGTGCACCCCTGAGCAAGGCTTCCTATGTGTTTGACAGAAAAGTGTTAGACACTTGCTGATGCTATGCATGAACAGGATAAATGTTCTGTTCTTTATGTGTCCTCATTATTAGGCTGGGCAGTTGGAGCTTCTTGCTGCTATAAAAATGGGGTCCTTTTTGCCCATCTAAGAAGAAATTATTTGTTCCTCTCCTAAAGGTCACATGGCAGACTGCACACCTGCAAAATCTAAAAGGAAACTTAGGTCCAATTAGATCAACTCTTGGGCCTCCCCTGGTGGCACAGTGGTTGAGCGCTGGGCTGCGAAGCTGTCCACAGCCTCTGCAGCACCGGTTCGACCCCCGGCTGCTGGCGAGGGTCCTACATGGTGTGCAGACCTCTCCTGCCATGCCAGCTGTTCCCCTCAGCAGTGTATTTCGTCAGTCTGCCTGTTCTGTTCCCCGCTCTGGCTCTGGTGAATTCTCTCACCCTTCCGCGCTTCTGACTGTACCCAGTGCTTATATAAATAAATAAGTAAAGCTTTAAAAAAAGTTAAAAAAAATTAGATCAACTCTTTTAAACATAGTTGGTGAATCTGATAGCCTAACAGAAAAATGCCTTTCCCAAGATCACAACATCAATAAATAGTACAGCCCAAGTTAATTTTAAGTCTTATGTTCTAACCATTGGGCTACACCTCCTACTTCAATATAGTTGATGTGGGTAATCATTCTGCCAACCACCCATCTGCAGTGTTTGATATTAAAGGAGAGAGCTGTGGGGACAGATATCTGAATTGGGCTTGCTATTTCCTGTTGTGCTAATTATCACAATTATTTTAAGTATAGTAAAAAGGGACTTAGCATAATCTTCATCCAGAGCCACATAATATATGTACTTTGGGGATATGTATAATTATTGCCCCCCCAATTCAATCAGTAAGGCCAAGCAATATCTGTGCCTTTCCATATCAATATTGTTAACTTCTTTGCCACAAGCAGAGATGTGATAATTACCAGATGCAATCAAATCCAGAACATAAAATGTAATTTTCAAATATTGCTGAAAACCAAATGTGGTGAAGTTTGCTGTATTCTTATGAAACAAACTTAACTGGAAATGAACAATACTGATTTCTATTGACCTACTTATGATCTGACATTTTAAAAGAAAAGTAAAAAGAGTAGCATGCCCTGTACTCAGAAGTCAAGAAGGTACCAGTCTTTAATTCTCAATATGGGGGATTGGATTGTCAATTGTCATTTGGCTGCCTAATGGATTAGGCAAAGACAGACTTGATTAAAAATGCACTTTCAGCTCTTGGTACATGCTTGACATTGTCCATGACCATCCTCGCCTCCATTTCAACCCAACTCTCCTATCTTACTAGTAAGCATACCTATGATAAGAGGTATAAGTGTTTCCTCTGCAAGTTTCCTCTGCAAATTTCAATTCAAAATAGCATGTTTGGGTAAGCATAAGGGAAGACATACACACACACATTCAACTGAAAACAAGTAGTAATAGCCGGTCTAGCTCTTCTGTCTGTGACTTCTGTACTGAATATTGATTTGTGTTATCAGATCCCAGCAGCTGACTTCAGATAGCAAGTCGTCTAAGCAAAAACTATGTTTTTTGCATGTGACATTTGAAAACAGTGATGTCTAATGAAGGTTTCTTTTCAAAGCTGCCCCATTAAAAGAAAAGTACCTATCAGTCAGTTATATGGGTTCACAATAAAAAACAACCCTGGGGACCCAGTTCAAGAAGGGTGATTATGAAGAAAAGGCCCAGATAGGCCAGCCATCCCAGCTGTGATATAAATAAGGGTTGTAGGACTGAGGCGCCCTGCGAATAGCCTCGAATGAACCACCATAAGTGACTCTCCTAATTGTGTTTCTGCTCAACACTGGAGGGCCTCGCTTTTTCTTTTAATGTAGAGGGAGAGAGAAAAAAATTTGCCCTGTCAAAGCCACACAAGGGAGTTCTCTTAAAATAAACAGCTAAAGTCAACTGTAGGCTTTTCTTTCCTGGACATATTTTAAATGTATATAATGTTAGGTGGCTGCTGGAAAAATGACAAGTGTCTGTTTTCATTTGACTCCCCAAGTGCATGGATCTAATTGACAGCCTCTCCGAGGCAGGGAGGAACATGCAGCTTCAGGGTTTCCATAGTAACCTGTCCCCACTGCTAGCGCTGAACTGTTCACAGTCATCATTCACAGGAACCCACATTTTGGACACCCTGTTAAGTTATCTAGGAATTCCAACCTCCCAAAGGTTAACATATCCTATTTTCCAAGCAGGTAAAACTTCCTGCTCTGGGGGCCAAATTTTCACTTCAGATCTCCAAGAATTCTCTGTTGAATTCAAGTGAGGGTTTTGCTTTGGTTTGTTCTTTCTTTTTTCTAGTCTGGCTCTGTAGCATACTCATTATGTACATCTAGGGCTACAAGTCTTCAATTGTCCTAGTTACCACTCTTTCATGTCCTTCCAAAGTTACACTGCCTGCCCTCTTCCCTAAGGTGACTTACCACGCTTAGATGAGCCTTACTAAGATGAGCCTTACTCCAGGCTCACAAGTCCCTAGGTAAGGCAGGAAGAGGGGAGAGGCAAGGTGAAAACACAGGCTCTGGCCCAGGCAGGAGCTGCTAGGGGTGAGACCCAGTTCCTTCTCCCTTTGTCACACTGGTTTAAGGGGCAGCGGCGCCACAGAATGATGCCCTTTTCTAATTCAAACAAAGGAGAGGCAGGCAGATCTGATAATACGTAATACACTTAGCATGCATTATTTCATTTACTACTCAGAGCCTGATGACAGAGTTCTTATTAATCCTAAATTATATTGAGCCAAACCAAGGTTAAGTATCATGCTCAGGGCCACACAGACTGTAAATGGCCCAGCTGGAATTTCAAAGACAGGCCTCCAACTCACAGGCCTGCGTTCTCCCCACTGCACCTGGCAGTAGAGGAAGATATGCAGAATGTGACTTCCCTGACCTCCTCAAAGGGGAGGTCTGCTGGACACTGAAAGAGTGGGTTCTGCTCTTTAAACCATCCAATTAGATGAATTTCTCACAATTTGCTACTTCCAAAAGGCCCACTGGCATTTCAATATCAAGCGTCCCTTAAATGTGCATTTCGCCACCTTCTGGGCTGCAACACACACAGAATTCTGTTTCCTAAAGATGAAATGACAGCCATCCTGGTAGTTATTTGTACACAATGCTCTGTGTTCAAATAAGAAGATCTGGATTCATGCAAATAGTTTTCTATCAGTTAACTGAATCACTTACCTGGGCTCTTCTGATGGGATCTACAAACAGTCGTTCACCATCAAGATCTGGAAAATGTAATCAGCTCACAGTAGAATGTTCAGCTCTCGCATCCCTGAAAGGAAAAAAGTATCTGTTAACCATAGGACAAGTATGTGTTTAGGATTCATTCATTTTCGTTTCTCTTAACAGTAATATAATGTCACCAGGGCATTCATTTTTTAAAAGTTTTAATGCATAAGAGAAATGTATAAATATGACATCACTGAGTAAACTGAGGAGACTAACCAGTATCTAACTTGTGCTCAGAAATGAGGACATCTAATACCATAGCCACACAGAGGGCTGAGAATCACCACGAGCAACAGCTCAACAGCTCCTCTTATAATTCATAAAAGACAGCAATGAGGTTAAAGACAGAAGGGCTATAGACACAGAGGCCATCCCCAATGCCTTGAAATATTACAACTCAAATACAGTGGAGGAAAAGTTGGGGTGGGGGGAAGAAGAAAAGAATTAAGTCAGAGATTATCCCCTCTTTCCCACCTGGGAGAAGGAGCTTTCTCTGGACATTTTTCAATGAATCTAATTTTCCACTCCTAACTAAATAATCTAGTGAAGAAGACAGTCCAGAGTGGGTTCTGCTCTTTAAACCATGTAACCATCCAGAGTATGTTTTCTTCCGCTGTCCAACTACCATCCAACAGGAAAAAGCATAGAAAGAAAAAAACTTGCAGATTTAGAGTAGGAAAACAAACAGAATTCATTCATTTATTCATCCTTTCAACAAATAATCATTTGGTTTTCACTATGTACCAGACATGGGGGAAAGAGTAATAAACAAAATATTCTCATGGAACCTATATACTGATAAGGGAAGGCATAATAAACCAGAAGCATTTCTTCCAGATAGCCATAAGGAGTAGTGGAAAAGAAAATAAGTAAGAGGAAAGGGCTTTTATTTGCATGGGAAGGCCACCAGGATCTGCTCGAGGAAGAGGCATTTGACCAGGCACTTTAGGTGAAGAAGGAGTGATTGGGATATACAAAGAGAAGAGCATGTGGCAGAAGAAAGGACCCATGCAAAGACCCTAAGCTGCAATCATGCTTGGCATTGTTTGAGGTGAGAAGGCAAGAGGCACTTTGGGGAAGTGATTATTAACCATTACAGATTAGGACTCCCAGGAAGCAGACTCTGAGAATGACATGATTGTGTGGGAAGTTTATTTAGGGAGTATGTTCACAATCAACATGCATGAAAGGAAAGGAAACAGGATTGAATAAAGGAGAAGACCAGGATGTGGCCTCAACAGAGGACTCAGGGGCCCCTCTGGGAGTTCTCAAGCTGGCATGGCTCTTCAGGGTTGCCCCTATCACAGCAAGGTCCATCACTCACGCACCAGTTCTTAGATGCAGGCTGCCCCAGAAAGAAGCAGCCTGTTCCACCTTTGAGCAATCTCCATAGGTGCTGGCAACTGCAGGAAATGATTCTTTCAGTCTTGAAGAAGGACCTAGGTAACCCATTAAAAAGCATCCCCTACACTAAGGGGGAAAGTGTTGAAGGATAAGAACAAAGATACACCAGGAACCAGATTATTTCAATGTCATTGGTAGAATTTGAGCATATCATGGAAAGTCACTGAAGGATTTGAGAATCGTTTTAAAAAAATGATTTTTTAAATATCATTTTATTTTTTTATAAATATATATATATATATTTTACATCATTGCTCATTTTTGTACAATGTATGCTTGTATGCTTTCTCCTTTCAGGTATATTCCCCTTAATATTCCCACCACTAATTCACTTGTGAACCATCACTATAGTCCCTTGTGATCTTTTCTCCCTTGTTTTGATTTCTCTACCTCCCTGTCCTTTACAGAATGTCTCTGATTTATAGTTGCCTGCTAATTATTTTTATTATTTTGTTATTTTTTTTCCTGATCGCTTATTCAGCTCCCCTATATTCCTGCTATAAATGAAACCATTCAATATTTTTCTTTTTCCTTTCAGCTTATTTCACTGAGCATAATGCCTTCTAGCTCCATCCATGTTGCAGCTAATGTCATGAGTTTATAGTCTTTGATTGCTGAATAGTATTCCACTGTGTATATACACCACATCTTGATCCAGTCTTCTATTTTAAAAGATCATTTTAATCATTGGTCAGAGATTAAACTGTGAGGTTGGGGAACATGGGTTAAATGTTAAGAATAATGACATGAGGGCCTCCCCAGTGGCGCAGTGATTGCGTGCTGGGATGCGAAGCTGCCCGCAGCATCTACAGAGCCAGTTCGATCCCTGGCCGCTGGCGAGGGTCCCACATGGCATGCAGACCTCTCCTGCCTTGCCCGCTGCTCCCCTCAGCAGCATACTTCATCAGTCTGCCTGTGCTGTTCCCTACTCTGGCTCTGGTGAATTCTCTCACCCTCCCGTGCTTCTGACTGTACCCAGTGTTTGTATAAATAAATAAATCTTTAAAAAAAAAAAAAAGAATGACATGATCACCTTCTGTCAGGGAAATGCAAATCAAAATTGCAATGATATACATCACACACCTGTGAGAATGGCTTATATCAAAAAGACCAGAAACAAGTGTTAGCAAGGGTGTGGAGGAAAAGGAACCCATGGACACCTTTAGTGGAATGCAGAATAATCAGGCCCCTATGGAAAACAGTAAGGACGTTTCTCAAAATATCAAAAATAGATCTACCATAAAATATAGAAATTTTGCCTGTAGGTCTCTACCTAACAAATGAAAACACTCTAATTAATATGGGATACATGCACCCCTATTTTCATTATAACACTCTTACAATAACCAAGTTTGGAAACAATGTAAGTGCCCAATGATAGATAAGTGGATTTAAAAGATGTGGTATCTACGTATAATGAAATACTACTCAGTTACACTATAAAAATAAAAAGATGAACTTTTAACATTGTGGCAACCTGTATAGAACTAGAGGGGATAATGTTAAAATAAATCTGAAAGAGAAAGACAAACTGTGGATGGTTTCACTTATATGTGGGATATAGAGAAATAAAACAAAGGATCAGACAGAACCAAATCTATAACAAATCCTAGAATCTGATGGTAGATTGAGGCTACCAGAGTGTGAGGGTGGAGAGCAGGGTATAGAGGAGACCCAAGGGACTGTATGGTGGAGGGCTGCAGGTGCCTGGGTGGAGGGTATGGTGTGCTAATATACTTTGAAGGGGCATGATCATCTGCCTCTGAATCACAATGTTGCAAATCAATGGTACCTTAAAAAAAACTGAAAGGAAACAAAAACTGCTAAGAATAAAGAAAATAAGTTTTTAATAAGAGCAACAAACCAATCACTGTATCATTTGTTGTCAGTAAGGCCCTGCCAGCAACACAAGAAGATGGAAGAACAGCGGATCTAGACAGAGGACACGAGAACAAGGCATGGCCAGTCACATCTGAAGAAACTTTGGAAATTCTTTCATGTAGATGAATTAGAGGTTCAAGCAAGGTTTTCAGCATGTCTGGGGTGAGGAAAAACAAGATTAGAGTCTCTTTGAGTTTTCTCGTGAGAGCTTAGAACATGGTGGTATTCAAGAAGGTAAAATTCACCAGGGCAATGAGAAAAGGAATGAGGCATTCTTCTGATTTGGGGCAGTGGTTCTCAGAGTTGAGGAGCAGCACAACCATCTAATGGCTAGATGACCCAGGTGCATTCACATAGGCAAGGCCCTGGGCCAGTGTGAGGTTTCTGTTTCTCTGGTGCTGCTGATACATTGGGAGATTGCTTAAAGGTGTGCCAGTACTGGTACTACCTCCCATTTATGGGAAAACACATCAAAATTAGTGTCCACTAATGTCCAGATATTACATGCAACATTTCTGTCTTCTACCATCAGGTAGATTCATTACTTTAAGATTTCAGAGCCTCCAAACTGGTGAGTCTCCTCAGTGACAAGAGTGGGTGAGAGCAGAATTGCTGACCCTTTGCAGCTGAGTCTCTGTTAGTATAACTCAGGGACCCAGGGATCCTACTCAGGCGGAGCATGTTCCTAGTCTTTTCAACACCACAGAGAAAAATAAAAATATAACAGAGCACAGATACCTACCAATCACAAAAGAATTACTGAATCATTCAGTATTCATAAAGTCAAAGTTTCTCCTTATTCTTTGACAGAAAAACAAAACTCAGACAATCATGATTTCCACACAGAGGGACTTGGAGCAGACCCTACAAAACATGCACCAGTGTTACAATTATAGCAACAGACTTCAGAGAACCTGACAAGAAACAACAGTGACAGCCCATTAATCTCCTCTGTTCCTATGAAAAGGTAACAGTCCTACCTAGCAGTGCCAAGGGTCTCATGATGCATGAAGGAATTTTCCCGTGAAGTTCCAGTAATGGGAATGAAAGTTTCTTTAATCAACAAGGGAGGGGAAAGCATAAAATTTTAAGACAGTTCTAATTGGACTTTCTGAAAACTTAAAGTGAAAAAAATGTGACCCGATGTCTACACTGCCTCAGTCCAGCTCTGACTGCTGAGTAGAGCTTGCAGAGAGGCAAGCTTCCACATAAAGCCACAGAAGTATATCAACCAATTATCCATCTGTCTGAATGAAGCAGGCATTATACAGAAGACCACGGGGCTATGTTAAAGCATTGTTGCTTCAGAAACTATTTTTATTAGCTTGTAAAGAAACTGTCCAGTAGAAAATAAAATCAAGATAAATCAGAGGAGATCAGAAACATAAAATCAACATAAACAGAGGCTAAGCATTGTGCTACTAACTATGCCATGCTATGTATTCGTAAGTATACTGTAGAAAATTTTTAAAAGTATATTAATAAAAGTTGAACAATTTGAGACACAAGTCAAATTAAGAAAAAATGGGGAAAGCATAGAAGAGAGGGAAGTAGGCTAAAACACAAGAACTTCTTATATTCCATAGAGTTGAAAATGACTGCAGATCACCACACCTGGATGATTACATAAAAGTGCTCCTATTGTCTTCAAAGTATTAGTTTAATTATTAAAAACAAGGTTATTTCTATTCAAACTTTTACTAAGAATAAAGAAATTAAGACCACAAAACAGACTAGAAAAAAAGAAAAACAGTAAGA